AGTGTGTGTACGTGTATATATATCGAAAGATCTTTTCCCTTAAATTTACCGGCTACGTTTATTTAATAGTTAAAATGAAAAAAAAAATAGTCTTAGAACAACACACACACACACACACACACAAACAGCATACGTGTATAACACGTAAGGCTTATAAAAAGAGAAAATAAAAAATTGTGTTTCTCAATATATCGCTTCTTTAAATTTATTTAATAAAAAAAAATGTATAAAGTAAGTTCAGGCAAATATTTTATATCTTTTTTTATTAAGAATATTGTGGTCCTGAAAAGGACCGATTGTTTCATAAAATGCATTCAATGTTGCCTAACTTGCGTAAATCGTAATTTAAGCACGTTCTCCACGAATACGTCGAGCCAATTGGATGTCTTTAGGCATAATTGTAACTCGTTTAGCATGAATAGCGCACAAATTTGTGTCTTCAAACAAGCCGACTAAGTACGCTTCACTAGCTTCCTGCAACGCCATAACAGCAGAGCTTTGGAAACGCAAATCTGTTTTAAAATCTTGAGCGATTTCGCGCACCAAACGTTGAAATTTGCCCATTGGCTGACCGATTTTGGGATCACCCAGGTTATGTTCAAGGTTGAGAAGCCATAAAGCATATAATCAGACATCTCAAGGGCAAGAGCTGCATATAATCGCTTATCAATTACCGAGAATAGTTTTACGCATCAGTCGTTGACGATCTCTTGCGCAATAAAAGAGGCAAAGAACTGTACCATTCTCATCTATGGTCGCCGAGCACGTGCCGCTTGTAGCTACTGTTTAAGAAGCTATTTGCCTGATACGTTTGGATATGGAACTTTTTCCTGCTTTTTTTCCATCCGTTATTTTCGCAATAACCAAAATGCAATGTAAATCGGTACAAGCAGCTTTTAATCGCGACGAACGAAGCCATTCGACATAAAACCAATAATTGTTCATCAGAATATCGAGACCAATCAAGTCGAAATAGAATTTTTGCAAAGCAATAACAACAATTGCCGAGATTCTTATAAAGGCCACCGTATTACACAAGTGAAATCACAAGTGAAAGTGGCGGCTACACTCGGACTAGGATAATTTGTTGTCTTCGTTTGCTTCTGAGTTACTTCCTTTTCTTATTCATTCACTCTTTCTACTTATTCCCAATCCTGCTTGCTACTCCAATGAAGTGTTTTAAGCTATCAGATAACAGATTCTAATACGATTCATTATAGTAGATGATGTTAATTGTAACAGGGTGCATTCCAAAAGTCATTGGTCGATTGTGGCAGGGTCTGAGAGCGAACGATATTTTCTTATGCGGTCTATTCTAATAGCTAACGGTCGATTATAAAAGGATTTAGTCTGTTAGGCGAGCGTGAATTGTGATCGGTTTTGGCTTCTTGTAGGTTGATAGCTAACCGTACGTCCCTATCTGGTCTAGCCTGTTAGACGACAGGACGTTCAAGTAGAAAATATCAACACCGATCGATTACAATATGGTCTCTTCTTTTAGATGAGGCTGGATTGCATTCGTTTGTATACTGAGAATTTATGGATTCGACCATGTCTTTCTTTGATCATTAACGGATGATTCTAATACGCCCAGTCCTAATCCCGAACAGTGGATTCTAATAAGGTCTACTCCCCGAGAACTAACTTTCAACGATAGCTAACCGTAGATCTCAATCTGGTCTATTCTATTAGACTAAAGGATAAACAAGTAGAAAATAGCAATACAAACACACACCACAACTACCGAGGACGACATTTTAATCCTTTTTAATTTTCGGTGCTCAAAAAAAAAAAAAAAAACCAAACAGCTATAAAGCATATAATGTTTCAAAATGTTTTGATGACTTTTATTTACGTGAAATGTTTTCAAGTTTCCGATAATATATTGTGAGGACCCAAAGTCGTGCCTCGTTTTGGCCTCACGGGTTCTCCGTCTCTGGCTGGGGAGAGAGGAGTGCTAGAAAGTAAGATAGCATAAGATAGGATAGTCATAGCGTAGGAATAGGATAGATATAGGATAAGAATAGATTAAGATAGGATAGGAGTAGACTAACATAGAGAATAGAATAGATTAAGATAGAATAGAAATAGATTAAGATAGACTAAGAATAGAGTAGGTCGAGTTAGTGTAGGATTACGTTAGTTCGAGGTTAGTTAAGTCTCTCGCGTTCGATACTCCGAAGTAGACGGTTGCACTTTAGCCACCGAACAAGCGAGTAAAGTAAAGTTTATCAAATAAAGAGTCCCTGCAGAAATATAAATTTCTTATGGGTTTTTTCTCAATTCCCTTGGCCGCTGAGCTGCCCCAGCCTTGAGGAAAGGGACAGAAACGTCCTCACAGTATATCTATTTCTAAAAAAAGGTATCATTTTAAAGCCCGTTTTTTTTATTTATTTTATTTATTGCAGATTTGATTCCATAATTTCCTCCGTAGCTTTCCATTCAAAGTATTTTTGAAGATTCAACTTTGCCATGATGTCGTCCATAATAAGAGATGCAGAAGCAGCTTACTTCGCCGCTCGATCGGTTTGCTCATCGCCCAATAAACTAATATGACTTAATATCTAAAGCGTTTTAATGTTAATAGCATTTCAGCTTCAAGCAAAGTAATTCCGGATAACTTTTAGCAGAGACACGCCATCAGTGATAATAACCGGCTTCCTTCCTTTATAAGCAAAGATCATAGCTTGATTGATGGCCCTGGCTTCGACTGCAAAATTTTAGGCACTTTCGTTGTTAAACTTTCTACTGAAGCATCTAACTTGGCGTAGGCATGTGACAGACTGCCAGCTGTAGAGCAGTCATTTTTCGCCAACTAGAGATCCACAAAAGACTTAAAATTAAACTTGGGGAGTGTGCAATTGCTTTTCGATATACTCGATTGTTCGGAAAGTACTTTCGTGTTTTCTTTTTTTTTTTTTTATAATAATGAAAAAAAGATTTTCTTATGGGGCATAAATTTTTTATCATGAGCTATCGATTTCGGTAAAATTAATTTCTCAGCGATCTTACAACTTGTTATTCATCAGTTTTCATCAATTATTGCCTAGATTGTGTTTTTCTTTATTAGCTTCCACTGGCCTCCCAGAACATGAGGCATCCTTAGCTTCGATAAGTGCGGAATCGAAACTATGCAAACTAGACTAAGCGCTGGCGTTCTATCAACACATCTTCTCGACACCACATTAGAGGGTTCTTTTCTTGCTTGACAACACCATTTCTATGGTGCTTTCCACTTTCTTGCTACGAATCAAACCCAATTTTTCACAAACAAGCCTCGCTCTATCAGCTGCCAAAACATGTAACGATTATGCGGGTTAAATGTGATGTTGACTGTGAAAAAATACAAGTACGTCCTCCTAAGGTTGGATGAAAATCGAATGATTTTCCGAACACCTCTATACAAACATTATTCAAATTGCGGATGATGACCTTTTAATTTTCTTGGCAAAAATTGTTTTTTCCTACTCGATTAACTTGAAAAAGCAATGTCTGAAAAAGCCTTTCCAGATGTCGAGCTGACGCGAATCAAAAAACCTTTGAAAAAAAAAAATTAAATAAAAACAATATAATCGATCATCGCCATTATCCGATTATTAAGTACTCACAAGTTACATTTATTCATAGCGTCTTATATTTGTATATGTAGACATTTTTGCGTATAGGGGCTTTTTAAAACATGGCGAAAAAGTGGTCCGATGCGGATCATTCCCAATACCGTTCGTTCTTAGCTCAGTTACGTCAGTGGATCAAATATCATTAAAATATCTGAAAAATTATGACCTATAAATCGAACATAAGCATACAAGAGGGGCCGAAATTAGCTGGACAGCCGTCGTTCGGGCAATCAATCGTTTCGAAAAGTCTTTATTAATCGAAGGGTGAGTTTATCTCAGCTGCTTGTAGTTGTTGCAAACGACCATGCCTGTCAACGATCCTGATTTGCCACAAATGCCGTAGGGTATAAATAAAAGAATACTTGATGTTCTTTTTTTAATTGTATTTATTTATTTTAAGGTTTTTATTTCAATTGAAATTATAATTGTTTTTGTTGTTGTTGTTGTGGTTGTTTTGTTTTGTTTTTTCTTTTTAATGTTTTACGCGCATATATATATATTTATTTATAATAATGTATTTTTCCTTCTCTTTTTAGTTAATAATTAATTTTATTTAAATGTAAAAATATTTAGTTTCAGTTTTATATAAAAAAAAAGAAAAAAAAAAAAAAAGAAAGAACAAAAGAGAAGCGAACAAAATACCAAGAAGAATAATTAAAAAAAAAAAAATCATGTAAATGAAAAAAACAAAGAATTTCCAAAATTTGACTCTATCGGAAGTTATTAATAATTTGATTATCGATTTTGTTGTTAAGCAAAAAATTTCAATTTTTTCGATTTTTCAATAGAAACATTTGTTGGTGGAGTGGATTCTGCTTCAAAAAAAAAAAAAAAAAAAAAACGAAGAAAAATAAATAAATAAAAGCCCCCTTTCCCTTTGCTTTTTGATTTTTCATCCCCTTTAAAGAATATTTTGTTTTTGTTTTTTTAGTAAATCTTTAAACTATTTTACGTAAATTTATTATTAAATGGAAAATATTTAACAAGAAAGAAAAAACGGAGAAAAGGAAAAAAAAAGAAGAGTAAATGGAAAATATGAGAAAAAAAAAAAAATACAGAAAAATAAACATTTATTTATTTATTTATTTTTTTTTTGCTTTCAAACGAATCACTTTAGGGGCGGCGATTAGGGCGGCTGGGGCGGTTGATTAAAATATGCTGCTCTACCAAATGTTATGCTTCCTCTTAACGTAAAATGTGTATGATAAACCAATTGTTTGTTTGTTGTTCTCCCTCTCTCTCTCTCTCTCTCTCTCGCTTGGTTTTGTTTTACTTTTGTAATCATCGTTAATTTTTTTTGTTTCTTTTTTTTTTTTGTTTCCGTTTAAAACACAACATGGGCTTGACGCATGTTTAAAATGTTGCTATTGTTGTTGTTGTTGCTGTTGTAGTTATAGTTCACATGCAGGCAGCAGAGGCAGCTACTATAAGGCGGTCACTGACAGCACTGTTTGCGTACATCACCGGGTACAGTCGGCTTAATATCAATTGGAACTTCATTGCCAGGACGTATAACATCACCTTCAGGCGGATCACGTATTTGCTTTTGAGAAACAATGCGATAAATTTCTACCCAAAACGAGAATAAGAAAACAAAAAGATATATAAATAAAATCATTGATTAGCAAGATATTATCGAGATCCGGCCTATACTATATACCTTACAATAAATGGGAAATTTGCTTTCACCGTAATCTTAATTTAATTCTTTGCGAAACATAATCGCTTCATAAGGTATGAACCATTTTTACTATCTCTTTATCTATTAACCTCATATTGTAACATTTTTTTTTTAATGCCACTTTGCCGTTCAACGCGTTACCCAACTTGACGACCTATTGGCACCTATTGATATTAGGATTATGTTGGTTTATCCAACATCGAGAATAATTGGAGGTACTAATAAGCTTGTATGTCCGTCTGTCCATCTTATATTCAAGCTACCGATAGCGATTTTTGAAATATTTTTGATGAAATTTGGACTACTCATGTGTTCCAGGCCGAAGGATGAACGCCATTGAGAAGCGTTAGGCCATTAAATGAACGGTGTAAATGAAAGAAAAATTGATTGAATTTGGTTCTAATAATCCCTGCCGTGCTATGAAAACTAAAATTGGTCCATTCAGTTACCCGCCTTAATGGAAAGTTTGTATAAAAATATTCTCCGCTAAGACAAATATTTATCTATTTTGTTACACAACAGCATTCTATTCGCAAAGTACACTCCATAATTTGTTTCACGGTGCGGGTGGTTAATCTATGCTTAACTTAATAAATCAATCACCTGTGAGTATATTTTGGAATGCAGTTTCGACATTAGTTGAATCGAGGGCTGACGTTTCAATGAAACTCAGACCGTTACGTTCGGCAAATAGTTTGGCCTCATCCGTGGGTACTGAACGTAAATGTCTCAAATCGGATTTATTGCCCACCAGCATAATCACTATATTCTGATCTGCATGATCGCGCAATTCTCGCAGCCACCGCTCAACATTCTCGTACGTCAAATGCTTAGCTATATCGTACACTAGTAGAGCACCTACAGCGCCACGATAATAGGCTGATGTTATGGCCCTATAACGCTCCTGACCGGCTGTATCCCATATTTGAGCTTTAATCGTTTTACCATCCACCTGAAATTAAACATAATTTTTCTTTATAAAAAAACGAATGCTTTTCAACCGTTAACTAGTTCTTAACAGTTATACGAAAATATAAAATTATAATGATTTCTTTTCCTTACTAAGTTACAAAGAGTAACAAAGTTTCTACAGCTCCTGGCCGAATCCTCCTGGCAGAACAACAAGTACGAACATTGCTGTCGGACAACATACCACATTGCCTAACATAATTTTCATTTATGGGTAAGCGGACCCAAAATGCAATCTAATGTAGTACAAGTTTAATCCTTACACAGGGCAAAATCCAAAAATAGATGTAGATGATCCAAATTTTGGATGAAATTACTATAGTATTATGGATCAATTTCCATCATATTAAAAGTTAGACTTTTCTGCTCTGCAAATGGTCAATTTTCATGAGAATCCTTATTAGGCTGAGAGGGTCCACAATTTGGTACAGTTAAATTTGATATCATTTTCATCATGAAGCGTTGAAAGTCTGACCTTTTTGTCATATCAACTTCAGTTCTCATTACATGACAAGGGGCCTCAAAAATTGCCCCAGCCGGTCCAAAGTTTCCATGCCAACTTAACATGCCGAAATACTGCTATTTAGCCACGTTTGCGCGAAATTTTGGAAATTACAATTTTTTTCCCATATGACGACCTTTCTGACTAGGGCGTTATGGGCGCGAGTGGTCGAAAAAGTGGACTGATCCGAACCATTTTTAATAGCATTCGTCTTTACTGTCCCAAATTTCATCAAAATATCTCAAGGATTGCGACTTGCAGCTTGAACATAAGTTTATATGGTCGGACATCAGGTGGAGAGACGTACAGACAGCCTTAGACCAATTCAGATTACGACTCTGAATCGATCGGTATCATAAGCTGTTTTGCGTGTTACATACGTTCACGGTAACTCACCACTTGTGGTACAGGGTATTATACTTCACGAATACAACTGCGGACACATTAAAACTTATTACACATGTATATATATAAAAACAACGAAATGGGAAGAATTACGAACTATCGAGATGATGGAAACATTATAAGAAAAATATTGAAAGAATATCCAACAAGCTTGTAAAAGACAAGTAAAAGAATTATGATCTCTTATAAGTTAAATGTTACGAGATACGAGAGAGTGCTCTAAATTTACGTCCGATTGCATTGAATGTGCGAATAAGGAGAAGAGATTTTCAAGATGCAAAATATTTTGGCTGAATGATATGAAGCGATGTGAAAGTTGGTCACTTGTTCGGTCACTTGCTTAAATTAATCAGAGCTTAGCTTCTGTGACCTACAATCACTTGACAAGCCCCTGAAGTGTGCAAGTCGTCTAAGTGCATTAAGTTCATAATGCCAGAGTTAGTGTCTCCGCCCTCAGCCAGTAGAATTATTGGACTTTCTCAACGTTCTTAGTACTTCAAACTGAACATGTCCATTTGCTACCGCGCTCGCACACTACCATATCAGCTCATTATCCAACCATAGTATCCGCCTTTACAGCGCTCTACATGCAGCAGTCATTCCAACCTTTTCAGAGTCAGTTGTCCAGCACGCTACTGTTATCTTCCGTTCCTGCTCTACCCATAATATTTTCTAATGACCGTCGTGCCCGAGTTTTTATAAGAGACATTCACTAAATAGTCGGTCAAGCAAGAAAAAAGAAGTTCATATCGAGAATTCGAAGAGTGGGAAAGGAACGGACGCACATGATTATATCGGTTAATAAAAAAAAAAACTTTTAAATCCATATTTTTATACAATTAATGGGAAAAAAAAAAACAACAAGCAAGGATATTATACTCGGTCATGACCGAATCGTTTTCACCCTTCATCGTCACCCTAAAGAAGGCAAAAAAAGTAAAAGGACTAAATTTTCATGCTCTATAGCATGGAGTGGGCACGGCTGAGCTTTTCTATTTGCAAAATAAGTCCTTGTCGCATAGGCGTGTGGGTGCAGTGGGTGTGTTCTGGGAAAAGTTTAAGTCACTTTCAAATTTTCGCGCAAATTTATAAACATTATCTTAATACTACGCACTTGCGCAGCTACACAGACGGACAGACGGACATGTTTAGGTGTGTTCTAAATTTGAAATTGGCCAAGAATTTGTATACTTTATGGGGCTTTTGAAGCTTATTTCTGCGCCTTATAAAGGCATTGAAAAAAAAAATTAAATTTTGATACACTATAATATTAGGCAGGCGTGGTAAATGTGTCCCATTTTTGTACAGCTGCCACCGTAACGCCCATAGAATATACATTCACATTTTTGTTATTTATTTACTACGGTGTATGAGCAACGAGCAAAACACTAATACTTTACTTCTTCTGAAAAACATAGGCCTTTTCAATGTACATGGTATTGTGGGCGTGTCCTTTGGCCGATTTGTTCCATTTTCAATACCAACCTGTGTGCAAGAACGTCCAATGATTTTCCAAATTTGAAGTCAACGGCCAGAAGAATGTTTACAACAGACATTGTACAGACGGACAGACCGACATGCTTAAATCGGCTTAGAAATTGATGCTTGCCAAGAATATATATGCGCTTTGAGGGCGTTTGCAAACGATTTGACAAAATGAATATACCTGTCATCCTTCGGTGATGGGTATAAAATTGAAAAGTTATTGACTGTATAATCCGTAATTGAAGATCCGTAGAATCAGATCAATACTGATTGAAATAAAAACAACCACAACTATCGTAGAGCATCACGGGCATCTATTAAGTATTTCATTTAATACAGTTCGGCATATGAAGCCTTTTCACTATAAGGATTTACGTATGGCAAGTGATCGAAATAGTGGTCCTACACGAATCAATTGCAATAACGTTCGTCATTAGGTCCAAAACATAACAGTCATCCAATTATGTAAAAAATTGCGGTCTGAGAGATTAGATGCAAGAATACGGACGGATAGACAGACAGAGCGACAAACAAGCTTAGATTAATTCGGAAAGTGATTCATTTGTACAAACTTGATACATCCTTGCACCACCAGATATGTAGGGTATAAAAAATGTAAAATGCTTTTCGAGATTTATCTTACGCTCCTTAATAACGTCCTTTATGTCAAAAATGTGTAAATTCTGTTTTTGCATTCAGTAAAACAAATTTTATATTTTGGCTAGCGTAATGGGATTGGCCGTCTCAAGTAGGCCGATCACATGGTGCGAGCTTCAAGTAGATAGCAAATGAAATTAACAAGTCTCCCCAATGTTCACCGTTAAAGACATGCATACATTTTTTAAGACTTATATCATAAACATGTTGATGTCATTTTTATTTCCCCTACAACGAAATAGAGATGTATTCATTTTGCCGTTGCTTTTGTAGCCTATAGCTATGCAGATATGAATAGTCAATGAACCTGAAATTCAGAATTCATTTAATCAGGTCTGGTTACCTTCTCTTTAAAAACTCTCGGGTACAGCCATAATGAACGAGGCAGCATTTTGGATATATATGTGACGTGATCGATACATTATATTCGCCTTAAGTTTGCTCTTCGCTTTATAACCTGCACCATCTACCTATGGCGTGATGAACATTAACTTCTCGCCAAGAATATCAAAAGATGGGCGGATCCTTTTATTATACTGATCAATTTAGGATTATTTTTTAAATCGAACCATATTTGCCTATGCCTCCATCTGTCTGTCAACCCATATAGACTAGGTTCAACCAGCTGATCGACAAATTTTTAGGTACTTTGACGAAATTTGGTACACTGTCCTGTTTTGGCCGAAACACAAACCCAATGGAAAGTGATGCATTTTTTTCCATTTTTTTTACTTGTCCGTCCGTCTGTCTTTCAATCCATTTAACTATATAAACTATGTTCAATCGCTAAATTATTTCGGGCCGAAAATTTTTGCCATTTTTGCGACCAACCATGGAAGTCCTTAGTTCAAGAAGTCAGTGCAGGAAAAAAATTTGCATTTTACAAAATTTCTCGACAAAAACCAATGATTAATGATATTTCGACCTGTTAAATTGATATGAAAATTTCGGATCAAATGGATCAATTTTTTGAATCCCCTCCCATATAATCGCAAAAATGTTTAACTTTGAATATTTTATAACGAAAGTCATAAATACATATATAAACATTGCACTAAGATTGAGCTACAGAGCGTTACCGAAGTCCGGTTTTTTAAAGCCCATGTCTTATAAGTGTTCTCCTCATTACTTTCATAGCGTCTGCTCATGTTTTAGGTCGAGCTTAAGCTCTGAATTGACTATAAGTTTTGTTCCCTATACCACTTGCGATCCAAAGTGATGTTAAGCTTGTGCGGATGTCTGCAACAACCATATCGACTGGAAATAGATCCATCATATATCAGTCGTTATATATCAATCGTTTAGGAATAAGTCTCTGAATCGATCTAAGGTTGTGTGTCCATCCGTCCGTCCGTCCGTCCATTTTTTTGCGTTCAACCTACGGATTGCAAATTTTTGAGATGACATGTTTTGGTCCAATGATGAACTCTATTGAAAATAGTTCCAATCGGACCACTTTTTCGATCACTCCCCATCCAAAGCCATATATTGGAAATTTCTTATATGAATTAGTGTATTAAACGAGGCGTTGTAGGGAATTTGAAGGTGAGCGCCGCGTTTCATTATTGTGTTTTTATTTGCGTTTATGATGAAAATGTGTAAAGAATTTTATTAAGTGAAATGGTATCGAGTATTTAATGATCGACCTTGTCCAATTATAATACATTTACTTACTTTTTTTGTGCAGTCATCTAACCTCTACATATATCTTGAGTGAAATATAAAAAAAAAAAAAAAATAATACTAATAATAAAAAAACTGTCCCTCTTCTCTGATTGTGTTTGTGATGGCGAATTTAAATTTAGTATAGTCTTAAAGGCCATAGTAGTTTGTCATGTTTCCATGTTTATATATAAATACAAAATACTTTTGCTCGTTATCGTTTTGTTTTTACTTGTTGTTGTTGTTGCTGATAGTTTGCTTGCTGTTGTTCAGCATACACATGAGCTATGAAAATCGATACAATTTTAACCAACCCCATCATGTACAAATGCAAAAAAAAAAAAAAAAAAAAAAAGGAAAAATTTGAAAATCTCCTTTCTCACATCTTTACGGAATGCCGCCGGGGCAACAAACGACACGCTCAGCATATTTCTATCAAACACTTACGATATCAATACATTTTCTTTTTATTTTTATTTTTATTTTTTTTTTATGTATTTTACCTTAAGTAATATTATCCTTTGTAAAGTTTCAGGTTAAGTTTTACATCTTACCTCTATACTGCGCGTAGCGAATTCGACGCCAATCGTTGATTTCGATTCCAAATTGAATTCATTGCGCGTAAAACGTGAAAGCAAATTACTTTTACCTACACCCGAGTCACCAATAAGAACAACTGGAAATATGCAATAAAAAAAATAAAAATTAAAAAAAATTAATTATAAAAAAAAAAAGAGAGCAAAAGAGAGATAGATAGCATGAAATATTGGATTAAAGAGAAAGTTTTCTCCTATTTTAAAATACATAACATAATCGTGTTTCGTTTAAGACAAAGCAAAACCGAAGACAATCTTATGGCGCATGTGAGCCCCCTTGTACTCACAATTGCTGTAGAAGTGAGAGAGCTTCTTTCTAACCTCACAAAAAATTTTGTTTATTTTTTTTTTTTTTCTTTATCAACTTATTAAGCAACTATAAAGTCGTAGGCCTATTACCTACTTATATACGCACAGTTCATAGGCAAAAAGAATCTTTAAAGACACAGGCTTTGTTCATATACAAGTTAGACTAGATGGGTACTAATGTAGTCATCTTACTCCATAGACTCCGTAATCATCAGTTCGTACCAGCAGCAAAGTACACGGTGTGAATTTAACAGTGCGATCGATATTGTTCTAAACGTATTCGAAGAACATATTCGAAGAACTTCTCAGACTAGGTGCCAGCAACACGAACAGAAAAGGATCGGTCAGCTGATGACAAACGTGATATCAATATAAAAGGATTGCTATTTGATCTAGGAAACTGTAGTCGTTCAGTCGAGCCTGAATGATTTTATATAGGTAGATAAGCAACTTGACAAACTGCAACTACGAACGGAACAAATTGTACGCTTGACAATACCTTATTTAATTTCTTAATCTCGATCGAAGATAGGATCTCAAATGAAAGAGTGACAAAGAAGCTTTGTCACCGTTATATGGTGAAGGCAGTGAACAGGCTTAAGTAGATTAGGTCTCATCTAAATGTTCGCTTTTGACACAGAAATCAATCAGAGAAAAGCACACGTTCGTTGCCGAATGGCCAAAGTTTAAGTGATCTGTAATAAGGCGTACGAGAAGAAGGGCTTGAGAGGGAAACATAAAGCGAAACATACTGAAAGATTAAAAGACAAAAGAAAACGATTCACAAAGAGAATAGAGAAAAACAGACAGATAAAGAAACAAAAAGACAGAGAGGGAAAGAGACAGATAAAGATAGATCGAAAGAGAGAGGGAGAAAGTTATTGAAAGAGAGGAAGAGAAATGAATGGAGAGAGATAGGAGGTGAGGGAGCGAGACGAATAGTTAGAGAGAGATGGAAAGAGGGAAAGGCATAGACAGAGAAAGAGGCAGTGATGCGGTGGGGGCGAGGGCCATGAAGCTCTATCAACAAGAAACGACAGACGTTGGCCGTACGAACGAACGAAAAGATTAACATTCGTTGGTAAATGCAGCGCAGAAGATAGATTTGTCAAATATCTTCATGGGCATTCAATGCGTCATAGGATCAACAAAGATATCAACACAAAATATGATCTTCGCTAAATGTCTTGATGTAAAGCAGTAAGTGAGTGATTTACTCAAACGATGTTAGTTAAATTCTGACATTCTAGGAGGAAAGTCGAAAAGAGAAATCGAATGCTTGAAAAGTATTGTTATTAAATATAAGTTCCCCTATCCAAACCTAAGGAATATTGAACATAGCACGTAAAACGCTCAAATTACCGTTTAATAGGTATATGAGATGCATTCAGAGAAAAAGGTCGCTTTTAATTTGTTTCGAAAAATATTCACCCGTTTTCGTTTCCTTCAAAGTAATCACCCTAAGATATGTATATAGATTTGGGCCAACAGTTTCTCCAATCTTCGAAGCATTTGTGATATACGCTTTTCGGTATGACCTTGAGCTCTTCCAGCGGTAAGGTCTTTATCTCCTTAATCGCGGCAAAACAACTTCAACCTTTGATGGGTCTTTACAGTTTTGAGTCCAAAAAAAAAAGTCGCAGAACGCCATACGATAGCTGAGGCATTGTTGCGATCTTGCTTTTGGCCAAAAAAGTGCGATAAAAGCAACGACGGATGTGCGGCGAGCTGGCGCATTAATGGCTCGTAATATCCGTGACTGGCAGTACAAAATTTTCGGACCTTTTGTTCTCATCGCCTCATGCAAACGACGCACAACTGCAAGGTAATATTCCTTATTGGCCGTGCGACTTTCTGGCAAGAACTCACAATGGACACCACGCCATCGTAATCAACGAAAGGAGCGACCAAGACCCATTCGAGCAAATCTAGATCGTCTTTGGCATCATTTAACAGCTCCTGAGCAGTACTCGTACAGGGGTTCTCGCAAACAACTTCGCTGCCACAAGTTTCCATGCCCAAAACATCCGAAAAAATGGCATCAGCAATTTCTCTGATTATGGTTCGACAACAATTCCCCATAACAATTTTTTTCATTGCTTCGTCCACGACGGGCACCGTCATTACGATCTTCTCGGCCTTCTTTGAAAGCCTTGTACCACATATAAACAATTATGTTGCTCAAAGTAGACTTGCCAAATGCCACAGTGTCTTGCAGCGCTTAAGTTTACTTTTCGCACAAGATTTAATATAGTTTATATGAACCATTTTTTTGATAGCAAAAACTCGCCAAACATATCAAACCACATCCAACTTTTATATCTATCAAAGGCGAACTAAAAATGCAAAATGACTGATACTACATGCAACACATCTTGGGGATATGTGTACAAAGATAAAAAGAAAAAGAAGAAGAAAAAAAAATTCGAAAATCGAATATACATAGCTTACGAAAGTTGAAAAGTCATTATCTTTTTTTAGTGAACGAACAAACATCGTACGTTCTTAAGTCACTTAAATAGTATTCATGTGACTGTCTATTTATTTTTAGAAAGCACACTTACAACCTCACAACAATTATGTCCAAAAGAATAAATTTAGTCTTTGGTCATTTCTTATCAAACGCATTGTATGCGTGGCTACAAAACTAAAATCAAAGAAACACTCATATTCATTATTTTCATTTTTTTTCCTAAATTGTGGAAAAAAATTTCTGAAGTTTTCACTTTAAAGCTTTCGATACCGACTAAAAATTCTTTTTTAATAACATTAGTCTTAAAATCGATAAAATTGAGCCAAACGTTTGCCTGTATTTGTCAGAAATTCACATGGAAACAACATATAGAGACGAGCAAAGCCGCCTATTAGATACTCTACACCACCTTACCTAACACAAGTATGCGCTCAGTTTGGTAATAAAACATGTTAGTTTCATGCAAAGGCAATCTTTATTTGCGATGGTATCTAAAAAATAGATCTACGTGGTCCAAGTCCGTTACGCCGTTTTACTATCATGAACTAATTTTCACCATGAAATATTAAAAATTATACCGTTCTTCTACACAAAGATTCAGTTTTCTTAGGCACGGTTATACGAGAGCGGGTTCAAAAATGCGCCCCAGCCGAATCAAATTTTCGAAACCAACTGAGAATGTCCAAATACGATGATTACAAAACGAGTTTTGCCGAGAAATTTTTAGAAAATTGTAACTTTTTTCCATATAACGACTTTTCAAAATAAAGCTTTTTATGGGCAGCGGTCGAAAAAGTGTAGCGATCCAAACCATTGCCAATAGTGTTCGTCATTGGATCAAAGAGCGTCAAAGTACCAAATTTCATCAAAACATCGGAAAAATACCGACCTGTAGCTTAAATGACGGACAGCATGGACGGACATCAGACGGATAGACAGACTTAGATCAATTCAGAAAATGCTTCCGAATCGATCGTTGCAATAATATAATCTTGCGGACATCAAACGGACGGACAAACAGGCTTGGAATCATTTTCTTAATCGATCGGTGCCATAATATGTGCGTCTATTTATAACGTTTCCTAATCACCACTGTTTTGGTCAATCTGAAAAAAAAAAATTAATAAATAAATAAATAAATACAAGCGGTCAACCTTCCCAACAGACTTCTCAAGAATTCATTTGTCTGCTTGTTGGAGAGCCCCGTAAAATGCGCGTAGGATAAAAATCTTTGCCACTTAAAAAGTAAGTCATTTTCAGAGAAACTCAAAAATAAATCCTTGAATTAATTAAAGCAATTTGCTTATGCAGCAATATGTACAAAAGAGCAACTACTGTTTACATTACAACAAGTAAAAAAATTATATTCGACTTTGGCCGAATCTTTTACACCCATCGCCTTCGTGTTATACGTTCGAATATGCGCAAATATTTATTGCTGCAGTTCCGGAGCAATGGCGCAAACGATTTATTTTTATGCTTTTGAAAAAAATGCTCTTATACAATATTGTACTGTGGGCATGCCTCCTTCCCACCGATTTAGTCCATTTTCAATATCCAGCTTCTTGCAACAACTTTCCATATTCATGAAACTAATATCCAGTAAGTAGTTTAGTATATGCATATATAAGCAGGCAGCCCTGAAGCGCAATAGACGGACGGACAAACATCCCTAGGTTGAGACAAATAATATATATAATATACTTTATAACGTCTCTGCTAACTTTTGAAGAGTAAAGTATTCCCCATTGGCGGTCCCCATCAATCGTTTTGATCTAACCTATATACCAGAATTTGGAACAAGCCATTCATTCATTTTTGCGACAAGGAAAATGTCTCCAACAGACATTACGTAGGTAGAGGGACAGACGGACATGCTTAAAATGATTTAAAATTGAATGCTGATCAGGAATACATATATGGGGTATCTGAGAAACATTCTTCCAAACGTTGCGAACATTTTAACAAAGTGAGTAAATCTCTTATCCTTCGGTGATGGGTACACAAACATACATTTGCCTATGTACTATGCATAGTGAAATAAGTAAGCAAATGTGAAAAAATTAAAAAGAACTTAAAATGCTCCAATTACTTGAAAACCTATTTTAAAAACGAAGAGCAGAGCCAGCTGCCGCTATATCATATTAATCATCATCTTTTAACTCATAAGCTAATTAATTATACTTTTTGCTCTCGTTCGCTGAATACAGCGAAAATATCAAGAATAGAAAAAAAAACATCGTGGAATTTTTCTTTGGAACTGGTGAACGGTATCCATATTAAAGCTAAGATTGTATT